TCATGCATGCTAAGTAATGTGTATGTATAACACGGGTATTTATTACCTCTTATGGAGATCTCTGTACTCTGCCTGACTATGTCTTCATCTGTCTTTTCTCCAGAAGAACACCACTATTTTTGTTCCGGCTATTTACAGGCTCAGCATCTACTTCATAGTTTTTAGATGGCTTGCTCAGAGATCACCCAGTCATGGACATCTTGGTGCCTGTGCAATTGTTGGCTGTGTTCATATATGTCTGACACATATCCGCCCCTGCTGTGTCACAGTTCAGCTGCAGACTTGCAGCTGAGCTGTTACTTGTAGTTCTACAAGTATATACAGACCTCTTACCCCTGGTTCTGCAGGGCTGTGCTTAGAGCTGCAGCTAACGATTATTTTCAAAATCGATTAGTTAGCCGATTATTAAGTTCAGTTAATCGGATAAAAAATAAAATACATGTTAAAAAATGGCTCCAGTGATGGGACTACAGGTTTGGAGCGGTGGAAGTAAAAAAAGAAAACAAAAGTGTGGTGTGCAATATAGTGAATGAAAAGTGTAAAATTATACAGCAATGAATGCAGAATTGCACCGGCTATAGAGGATTACAAATCCCAGCAATAGTACATTATACAGCACAATGCAGAATACCACCAGCTATAGAGGAATACAAATCCCAGCAATAGTACATTATACAGCACAATGCAGAATACCGCCAGCTATAGAGGAATACAAAAAAATCCCAGCAATAGTACATTATAGCCGGTGGTATTCGGCATTGCGCTGTATAATGTACTATTGCTAGGTTTTGTAGTCCTCTATAGCTAGTGATATTTGGCATTGCACCACTGTATAATCTATTATTCCTGGGATTTGTTGTACTCCTCTATAGCTGGTGGTATTCCGCATTGCGCTGTATAATGCATTATTGCAGGGATTTGTAGTCCTCTAAACAGCGCAATGCAGAATACCACCAGCTATAGAGGAGTACAACAAATCTCAGCAATAATACACTATACATACAGTGTATAATGTATTGCTGGGATTTGTATTCCCATGTATAATATACAGCACAATGTACCATCAGCTATAGAGGAATACAAATCCCAGCAATACATTATAGAGCACCATGTGTGGGAAAGTGCAGGCTTACCTGAGCAGTCTTCCAGCAACTTGCTTCTGAGATCGGACCTGTCTATCGGCGGCTGTCATCCCCCCACACCTGCTCCTCCTTACTACTTCTCCCCGCGTCCCTGTGCCGATCGTGGATGTGGACGGTCAGTGAACGGGGGAGGAGATGCCGCGTGTGGAGCGTGGATGCGGGCGGGTCTGGCATCGGCGAATGTGAGATGGGGAGGAGGTGCGGTGCGCAGCGTGTGTGGAGCCATGAACAGGGCCAACCAATCGGAAGCCGATTAATCGATGATTGAAAAAGTTGACAACTTTTTCAATAATTGATTATAATCGATTATGTCGATTTAATTGTTGCAGTCCTAGCTGTGCTGTTGCTTGTAGTCCTCCAGGCATGTGCTCTGAACCTGACTCACTCTTGCACCAGTCTGGCAGCTTTAGGCGTCGGCCGACCTCTGCTGTTTCTTATGCAGCTTCTCGGCCAATCAGTGCGTCCGGTTGTGGCCAATCCTGTGAATCCTTCCTCTTCCTGTCTCTATTTAAACCCAGGGCAGCGACCGGCCTGCTGCCCGAGTAATGCTTTCCTAAGCTAGATGTGGAACCCCCGTTTGTGATTCAATCTGATTTACCTTGAAGTTTATGAAGACTGTTGACCTGTCCCTGGAAATCCCATTCTTTGGTCTGTCCCTATCCTTTGGATATTACCTGGAAATCCCAGTCTTCAGATTGTCCATGGAAGTCCTGGTCCTCCTTCTGACCCTGACCTTTTGTTTTGTCCCTTGTTTGTGTGTCTGCAACCTGTCCTGAACTCTGGCCTTGTCAACGATTGTTGGCTGTTAGGTGAGTTGAGTGAATCTACAGATTGTGACCTGGGGTCAGCACACAGCCAAGCCCTTCTCCACCATCAGGAGCTTTGATGAACACTGGTTGGCCTTTAGAATCCACATCCTGGGGGACCCCATGCCACCTATCTAGCATTGCAGTGCCCTGCCCTATACCTTGTCCTACCAGACTATTCTGTCTTCCATTGCCTCATTCAGTTCCCCTACTTGTACTCCAGCTCTGGGAGTCATCAGCCTACACTGCTTGGACCCTTTTCTCTAAGTGTCCGTGCCAGTGTAGTAGAAAGGGTCCACATACCTGACTCCAGTTCATACCTGTGAGCCCCGATCCGTGACATGCTGCAGTCAAAGGATGAGTTCACATTGGCAACAACCTTCACCTCCCTCTGAAAAGCAATCAGTGGTGGATCGCTTTGTAGAGGGTTAGTTGTGGAGCAGCAGCTACCTGGACCTAAGGAGGCGATACTGCCTTTTTTAAATAAAAAATCCCAATAGGGATTTTCTTTTGCAAAACCATGTTGAGACTGCGACGCGGTCCCATTCATTGCAATAGTTTTGTTCGACTAGCGGCACTGCCTGTGAAACGTGACATTGCTGTATGATGCACAGCAATGTAAACAGCACTGTTTGGCCACAGTGCTGATATTGCGGGGGGGGGGGTTAAAAATCGCACATCAACTGCCTGCTTTTGCTGTATGTGTGAACAAGGCCAAAAGGTTACTTGACTGCATGCTGGTGGCAAGTGGACAGCAAAAACAGAATGGTGACATTAATTTTTTAACATCATTAGAGAGTACAAAATCTGAAGCTGTAGTAGTAGTCCTGTTGCACTCATATGACACTAAAAAAAGGTTTGAAACATCAGACTTACATAGGCTTAGGCCTGGTAAAAGGAAACGTCAACAACAGAAGAGACCAACAGGAAGAGGGAAGACATAGGAGAGGACAAAAATGAGTGATGAGGAGGGAAGGATGCAGGAGCAACGAAAGGCTGCTTTTTAATTATAGAGGTTTCAGCTTTTGATAAACTTTTACTGTTGCTGTTTAGTATATGGTGACATGTCAGAAATGTATTCATAAAGACCTCGAAAATTATTCAGAGGTTCATTTTGAAAAGACAAGGCAAGTATCTGACTTATGGCATGTGTCGATGGGCTTTTGTTTGTTTCACAATGGTTATGCATTGCCATACAAGCCTACAAGAATGCAAACCCAACTTAAAGCAGGTTCAATAATTCTAAATGTTCTCAGAAGCATCTCAAACTGATGTCAAATGGAGACCATTGACACAGTCCCAAAGCCCGTCCACATAGGTTCTTACACTTCCTTTACTTGTTGAATTTTGTAATATTACAGATTTCTGTTTAGCTTTGTCCAGGAATTGGGGAAGCATGACAGAGGTGTTTACTTTAGGGTTGTGATTGTCCTGAATAAGAAAAGTCAAATATCTTCTCCGATTGCTGTGCGCTCGCTCAAATTGACACCTAGCCATTAGTTAGGCGGAAAAGAAAACCTATAGGGCTATTTACAAAAGGGTGATGAGTTTGGAGAAGGGAACAATCTAGGATAACATAGCTGAGCTAGAAAGTGAGCTGAATTGGAGAATGTTTCCAAATCAGCTATGTTGTCCTAGATTGCTCACTTCTCCTGCCTTCTCCAAACTCTTCACTCTTTAGTGAATAGCCCTGCTAGTGTGTATTGTAAACCGTTGCTGGGTAACCATTTCAAGTAAGAACATGTCTTTATTGGAAGTCTGCAAGAAACCAGGGGTTGTCTTTTTTTTCCCCTTTTGTGTATGATTGTCCATTAAAATTATGAAGGAAGTCAGTTTTTGAACTGTCAAAGGTTCTCACTATAAAGTAAATGTTTAGTCAATTATATGTGTATGGGCTTTCTTATAAAACATTTGATATGTGTACCTTTTTATTTTTCACTTTATTCTCTTTGACCTTGTCTGCACTTCTGATTCATTTAGGGGGTGAAGGGTCAAACATAGACTGATATGTGCTGTCATGTCAACTGATTTACTTCACATTAACAGACATTCACATACCTTACAAACACTGAGTGGTCTGTCTGCTTAGGCAGCTGTCCAGTCTGGCTGTGTGCATCCTCATGTCTCAGAGGTACCGATCTCTCAGTATTAGGGGGAAATGGCAAAAGTCAAGGATAAAGCTAGCAGGTCACATTATATCTGCACTTTTGACCGCCCTCTAGTGTCTATGTTAACCTTAGATTTGTTGATTGTTTTTCTTTTATTCTTTTGTGCTTGCAGCTTGTCTTTATTAGTAGTGTGATTACTTTTAAAGCAGAAACCTGGGCAGAAATGTTGTCATTAGCGCAAAGGTCATTTATTCTTGTTTTTTTTTCGTACAGGTGTTTACCTACTGAGAAATCTCCACTTGAATAAGTTAGAAGAGGGGCTCTATGGCCTCTATTCCCCCAGCCACCGGTCTTGTGGCATACCCTGTGTAGTTCCATGAGCGGTGACTTAATAACACCTGAAGTCTGACTTCCAGCCTGACCAACTCAATAACATTCCATTGTTTAACAGGCCAGGTGACTCCAGGCCGGTCCTGCCCACCATTACCTCATACTTTCACTGACAGGCCACCAGATTCAAAGTCTGTCTTATCCACCATTTCCTCATACTTAGACTGATAGGCCAGGAGAATTCGGGGCTGTCATGCCCATCCACGCCTGCTGGAAAGCAATGAATGGCATTCTTAAGTTCGTCAACATGTCTGCCCACATTAACGCCCATTGAAAACCCCATTTCCCATTGCATGATGGGAATTGGAGTTTGTTCAAGCAACGCTGTGCCGGCAAAGCTTCGCTTTACAAATAAAAGGGATGACATTGGAGATTGTAAGAAAAAACTATTAATAAAAATTGGGAGAGTTAAAAAATCACATACCTTTTATACACACATCTTTGTAATGTACTTGGTAGTAGGAAGTGATAGTCACAACTATGCAGTAGTAAAGATTTAAGATTACATTGCATTTAGATTATGAAACTCATCATTTTTTTGTACTCTTTTTCAGGAAATGTTTACCAACATGCTGCCAAGTGAATGTGAAGGAGTAGCTCCAGAGGTGCTTGTACAAAGGTGAGATCGTGCACACATTCTGCTTCCCATCCTTGTGTAATGTACACCACTGATAACAACCTGTACTAGCTGACCATCAGCCAAAAAAAACGTTCCCCCTTTTCTTTGAGACTGTTCTTTTCCTACACAGAGTCTAGCAGGCACCTGGCTCTGGGCCACACGCCATGTCTCTGGAGTGCTTTTCCTAGCATCACAATCATTTTTCATGCTTTAGGTGCATTTCTTTTTACATAAACATGTTTCAAGAGCAAGCAATATTCTTGTCACAGGGGAGACAACTTGTTTGGAGAGTAGTTAGAGCTGTTAATGTAATCGTCTGAAAATTAGTGTAAGCACTGCTACAGTGTAACTTTATTGGGGTATTACGTGCTGCAGGTGAAATGCTGAATGTAGCGGAACAACAAATGACTCCGGCATGTCTGGATCATTTTCATCTATAATGTGTGCTCTTGAAATATACAACAAATGGTACTATTTATCGCCTGCCTAGTTTTAGAAGAAAGTACATCCAGAGGGAAAACCAGTGCAGCTGAAATGTGCATAATAAAGCCCATACCACACATTTACATCTCACAAACTTATTTAGCATACAGTACATGTATTTTATTGTTCCTGATGTTTATATAGTGCTTACATTTTCTATAGAGCTTTCAAGAGTGTATTGTCACCATTTGCATCTTTCAATGTCCCATTAATGTTTGCATTATAATGTCTCTCGTTCTATAACTGAGGCACCCCAGCTCTGCACCCAACATGGGTAGAAGATGATCACTATATCACTGCTTTGATTATTGGAGAAAAGCTGAGTCTTTTGGGGGAGGGGAGCAAGCAGACGGTAAAAACCCATTGCAGATAGGGTCTTCCTGAATTTCAAAACCGGAGCCTGACTGCTGCAAGGCAGCAATGATCACCCTTGTGCTGTTGCAAGAATACCAGCAATAAAAGTAATCGGAAGCTTGCCAGTTACATAGTATAGTTGCATAGTATTTGAGGTTGAATAAAGACACAGGTTCATCAAGTTCAACCTTTGTGTGTCTATGTGTGTATATGAGTCCCTGTGTGGTCTAGTTTTTAAGAGTACCTGTACCCCTGTATTTTACGGTCTCTGAGGAAGGTATCTAATTGATTTTTGAATACTCTCAGCTGATGCCACTGCTTGTGGCAGAGAGTTCCAAAGTTTAACCACTCCGACTGAAAAGAAGCCCCACGCCTCTTGTGGATAAATCTATTCTACACCAATTTTAGGTGGGGGCCTCTAGTTTTTGTTAGGGAGTTTACAGTAAAAAGTTTATTGCTAATGTTGCCATCTCCACTAAACATTTTGTACATCAAAATCATGTCTGCTCTTAATCGCCTCACTTCTAGCATGAACATGTTTACGTTTAGCAACCTTGTCTGATAGCTTTGGTCCTCCAGCCCCTTAATTAGTTTAGTTGCCCTTCTCTGGACTCTCTCTAGCTCAAGGACATCCTTTCTGTGGATTGGTGACCAAAACTGAACTGCATACTCAAGATGTGGCCGAACTAGTGATCTATGTGGCAACATTATTGCTTTATCTCTACAGATAATTCCCTTTTTAATACATAACAGTACTCTGCTCGCTTTGTTTGCCACAGCCTGGCATTGTGTGCCAGTTAAATCAACTAAGACATTGCACATTTTTATGAAATTGACAGACAAAAGCATATGCAGTTTTGTTGCATTATAGGAATTCCTTTCAACTGTCTTGAATGAGAAAATGAATATTAAAGGAGCAGAAATAAAACACATTTATTTTATTTGTGTTGGCTCAGCACATGTTTGTGAATAGTTACTGTCAGTAAATAGTAAAATCTGAAATAAAAGTGAAACGCATTTTTCTTGTGCTTGGGAGCTTGAAAACACATTGATATATATATACAGGGCCTTGAAGACCTATAGAAGATGTGGTTATATTGACTTCTTTATTAATAGCTCCCAAAATCTAGGCATCATCAGTATTCAACTACATTGGTTACGTTGCTGCTAGAGTTTGTCTGGCCCTGATGTATTGTATGTATAATACAACAGCTGACATTTATTACATAATATTTCATAAAAATTGTACCATTATGAATGGTCTTCCTTGCTTTTGGTGAAATGATAAAATCAGGTTGCATCGCAGGCAGGGAAAGGTAATTAAAAAGTGCAGTGTTCTGCTTTAAATGCATTAATGATCCATTCTGGCTCACAGAGTCTTGCATTGTGTCACCTGATTTGCTCCAATCTCTGTTACTCATACATGGTGTTTCTATTTATTTTCTTATTCAACAAGCGTGAGCTGGGAGGCAGAAGCAGCCTCTGTGGACTCGGTTTCACCACCTGGATATTTTATCATAAATCCTAGCTGTCTGCTAAGTGTTTGTTGTATGGTTGGTCACAATAAATCTCACCGGTACACTTGAGCAGACTTGTTAAAAAGCTAGAGCCCTGGCAACAACTTGTATATCTTAGTCAGGCCTGCAGGAGAAACTAGCTTCATCAGTTACTATGTATTTGGAGATAGATAGATAGATAGATAGATAGATAGATAAATACACTACTCAGACCCACCCACTATCCCATCTCTACATCATAAAGGCTAATCATTCTATAGTCCCAAGATATAAACTGGGAAACCTAATTAGTCTAATAGTCTTAATTGTGTATACTAATTAATCTAGTTACTAATCTAATTAGTATACACAAGACACAGGACAGCTTTGAATTTCTGACATGATCAGCAGGTATTTTGTGCACTTATCGAGCAGATATAACAATAGTATATTTAACAGACCAATACGGAACATATAAGAGCTCTAACAACACTTTGTAAACGTCTAGGAACTGAGGAGACCAGTTGCTGGAATTTTGGGAAAGAAATGTTGTCCCATTCTTGCCTGATTATAGCATTCTAACTGCTCAACAGTCCGGGATCTTCTTTGTTGTATATATTTTGTTTCAAGATGCACCAAATATTTTCAATTTTGGTGAAACGTCTGGACTGCAGGCCGGCCAGTTAAGAACGCGGACTCTTCTACTACAAAGCAATGCTATTGTCATAAATGCAATATGTGGTTTAGCATTGTCCTGCTGAAATATGCAAGGTGTTCCCTGAAAAAGACATTCTCTGCATGTGCTGCTTGACAATCTTTCAGCATTTATGGTGCCTTTCCAGATGTGCAAGCTGTCAAATTTTGATTCGTGTGACCACAGTTTTCCACTTTGCAACAGATCATTTTAAAAGACCTTTGGCCCAGAGGAGACGGTGGCGTTTCTGGATCTTGTTTGCATGATAGAGCTTTAACTTGTATTTTTGTATGGCACAGCGAACTGTGTTCACAGACCGTGATTTTTGGAAGTATTCCTGAGCTAATGCAGCGATGTCCATCACAGAATCATGGCTTTTTTTTTAATGCAGTGACATCTGAGGACCTGAAGATCATGGGTATCCAGTATTGCGTTTTGGCCTTGTCCTTTGTGCATAGAGATTTCTCCAGATTCTCAGAATCTTTTGATTGTATTATGTACTGTAGATGATAGTATATTTAAAGTCTTTGCAATTTTACATTGAGGAACATTATTCTGAAATTGTTACCGTAGACAATTTTTAGATGCAGCTTTTCACAGATTGGTGAAAAGCTACATCTTTACTTCTGAGGCACTCTGACTCTCTAAAATGCTCTTTTAATACCCAATCATGTTAATGACCTGTTGCCAAGTAACCTAATTGGTTGCAAAATGTTCTTCCAGCTCTTCCTTGTTAGTACCACTTACTTTGCCAGCTTTTTGATGACCTGTCACAACTTCTTTGAGACTTGTTGCTGCCATCAATTTCAAAATGACCTTATTTATTTTTCTTAAAATGGTACATTTTCTTAGTTTAAACATTTGATACGTTTTCTATTTTCTTTTGTGAATATAATATGGGTTTACGATTTGCAAATCCTTGCAATCTGTTTTTATGTAGATTTTACACAGCGTCCTAACTTTTTCGGAATTGGGATTGTACTTTAACAGGTACCCAACAGTTACATCTTATTTAGATGTATGCTAGAATAAATTACTGCTGTTCCCGTTAGGAACAGTTTTCAAAGGGATTCTTTTCAGTCTTTTTTTATTTTGCTATGTGAAGTGTGTGTAACCTTTCTATTGAAAGCAATCTCTCACATAAATTTTAGTTTTTACTGGCGAGTATCAAGTAGGTAAGGGGTGAGTGAAATCAGCAACCAGCAGCTAAGAATTGGTAAGAGACATTTGAGAATCACTAGACTATGTGCTGTTGGTTTGTAAGTAAGCAGATTATATGATGCTTGGAATGACTATATGGCATTTTATAAAGCAGTGAATGTGACATGAATGTGTGGTTATTGTCACATTCAGTACTTTTATCAATATGTCCTTCAGTTTACAGCAGTAGATTGATGTAGCGGCACACTAAGGGGTCATGTAATGGGATAGGTAGTTTCATTGGCTAAATTAAGTTTTACAGGGTTTTTCACAAAACGGTGAAGAGTTTGGAGAAGGCAGGAGGAGTGAACAATCTAGGACAACATAGCTGAACTGGTAAGTGAGCTGAATTGGGGGATTTTTCCAAATCAGTTATGTTGTCCTAGACTGTTCACTTCTCCTGCCTTCTCCAAACTCTAAATAAAAGGTTGTCATATGTAAAAGTCATATGCATATTTCCACAGAAAACCTATTTCTGATATTTTGTCAACAGTACATTACCGAGTAGTAAAGTGCTTACTATTCTTTTCATTGACATCCCATCTTTGTGTTGTAGATCTACCACTTTCATTGTTTTTCATCTAAATCTATCACAGAAAGTAACTTCATTTTATTACAGCTTTAGTCCCACCCCACCTGCTGAGGTGAGGGATGAAAACTGTCCGAATCCAGAACTGCCCATCGAGAATACCCAGGAAGAAAGCGTCTGTCCAGGTATGACATTTTTTGTTCACTCAACATTATGTTTTTGTTAGAAGATCCATACACAACATTTATGAATACCTACATGTTGGTTTTGATATGTGACCACTAACTATAAACTGGGGGCTATGCAAGAGATCAAAGATAAATAAATACAAGTTTCAGATACTTAAAGTAATATTAAAGTATTTTTTCCAATATTGAATCCAGACCAAACAAATATATATTGTCCAGCAAAGTATAAAAAAACATGCCATGAACAATTATAAATAGTAGCCACCCTTGAAAAGAAAGTCACAGCCCCCCAGTGGTTAGATGCCCAGGTCTCAAGTTGGAGGAGTGCCTCCACACACAATAGTTATAACTGATACAGTCATGTTAGTTCACTTAAACAGTGTATACTAATATTAGTCAATAGTGGTGACTAAGTGGAAAGTCATCTGGACTGTTAGCAACTAAGTTTGACCAGCTAAATCTTAAGGGCCTGTTCACACCACTTTCAGTGCATTCCAGCAGCTAACCATGCTGGAACACATTGGATTGCATACTGTAAAGGCTTCCTGCATTCTGTGCCGGGAAGGGGCATGGCGGTGCATTCACGTCAATGGCACTGCAGCCACACCTCCTGCCCGCAGTGCAATCGTCCGCAACAGAACGCGATCCAGAGCAATTGCAAAAAATTGTGCTTGCACTATTTTTCGCTATCGCACTGGACCGGAATGCGGACATTGCTGTGCCACACGTTCTGGTGCGGGTGATTGCAATGAGTGCAGGGGTGGCGTGGCTGTGGTGCTATTGACTTGAATCCACCTCCCCCTCCCGCCCCAGAAGACAGGGAGCCTTCACAGTATGCGATCCACTGCGTTCCAACTTGGTTAGCTGCTGGAACGCACTGGGAGTGGTGTGAACAGGCCCTAATTTCAGAAGGTTTTCATAGTTTATTTGATAAAGTCATGTGAAAAAAGCACGCTCAATAGACTCAATAATTGTTGACTTAATTTAAACAGTGCCTACAGATAAAGGTGATATAATTGAATGAAAACAGAAGGAAAATTAGCTTGTTAATAATGTATTTAACAAAAATGATCTAAATAGTCTATAATATCTATAATTAATGGTGTACTGTGGAAAAAGTAAGTATTCTCTTGGCCCCAAAAGCTCTTATTGCCCTTTAAATGTTTGACCAATACTCCATCGATGCAAAACAAGACTTTTGTGTGTTTCAATGCATGAACTACCTGTTTCATATCC